ACGTCGACGTCGTTTCCGCAGCAGCAGCAGCAGAGAGATAGCGAAGAAACATGGATAATCCATTATCCAGAGGAGAGGAAGCTTGACGTCGCCGGAAGCCCAGCCTCGTCGACGTCGTTTCCGCCGGAAGCCCTTTCATTGCAGCGCCCAAGCTCCTCGTTGTAACGTCATCCACCACCATCGTCCACCATCCGCGACTCCAAGTCGCATCCTCGACCGCAAATTAAATCGCTTCCCGGCCACCGGGAAAACTGAGGCCAGTGAAACCGGTCGCTGGCGAGGTGCACATTATAGACGATGGCCATTGTTCTACTGTCTCAGTTCTCCGGCCACAACCACCCCACGATGCTGCTTACCCTCGACAGAGGCTCACCGGAAACGAAAACAACAACAATTCCAGGCAAGAGCAGTAACAAAACAAGGTATATTATCATAGTAATATTTTGTTCCAGCATATGCACAGTAATATATTTGCAAGGCAAAATCACTCTTAAAAGATCACAAATTATGTATATGTAGGTGATTTGCAAAAGTAATGTATGAACATAATAAAGTGGTGGAGTGGTTAAGGCGTTAATTTGGAAATCTAAATGCTTGGGTTCAAATCCTTTTATCACCAGAATTTTTGGATTTTGAATGCTGCTAACTGCAAAATTCTTTCAAAATATACACTGAAAAATTGCTACAATTCCACTGGCAACAAAAACCTATAGCATATATATTTTATACAAAATATATTCATGCAATTTGACTAACTAGGCAGAGATTATACTGGCTCTGATACCAAATGTTAGAAATACACAAATAATACATGTAATCTAACCTTATAGCTGAAGCTTATAATCGAGCATACATGTAATCTAACCTTATAGCGGAAGCTTATAATCGAGCATCTCCAGCCATAGTTGTGATCTCTTATTGCATTGCTTGAATAACAATGAAGAACTAGGTTTTGTCTACCACTTGGTTTCCTGTACAACTAGATGGTGTAGTGTCAAGTCACAAGAGGAGTGGGAGGACCATACACATATATATAACCTACGTGCCATCATTATAGGTTAAGTAACGGAAACCGTTACTTCCGTTTCAAACCACAACATTATGGCCATAAATGGCCTATTAACTTGCACCACTTAATGGTGACATAATGGAAATGTTACAATATTGACTCTTTGTGCCCCAATAAGTTGAGAAAGTAGCTATAATAAACAGATACTACACTGTAATAGAGTCAGTAGTACTAAAAAAAAGCGTAATGAGATGCGATATATTATGGCTAATCTATATTCAAAATAACATAATTATTATGGTATCGCATCTATTAGGACTAGTGTTATGAGTCTGTGTATTTGAGTCACATTATCACTCTCTATCCTAGTCTTCCTATGATTCTCTCTTGTATATATTCCCCCAATCTATACAGTTGTAATTAATGTTCATCTAATAGAGTTTATACATTTCTCATATGGTATCAGTAGTCTCAGGTTCCTTTCCTATTTTCTCTCAATAGAACCATAGGGCAGGTAATATTGACGGATCTGCTAACTCCTCTGAGCGGACTGTTTATGATGATGTCGTTACTTCCTCTGGTTCTATGGGTGTTAATTCACTTTCTACTGCGCATTACTTTATCAGCATCAAGCTCACTCATAAGAATTTTTTATTTTGGAGAACGCAAGTGGTACCCTCACTTAGTCTTGCATAAATCCCATCCATCCTACTCTTTCCTTCATGTCTTCGGGTGTCTATGTTATCCTTATTTACGACCATATAACCATCATAAAATGTCCTTCAGGTTTTCTCCGTGTGTATTTCTAGGATATCCCGAGTCATTCCAGGGTTATAGGTGCATGGACTTACAAACTAATAAGGTTTATGTGTGCAGATATGTGCAGTTTGATGAGGCTATCTTTCTCTTTGCTACTAAAAATGTTTTACAGACGCTACATGCTTCTCAAACCACTCCATGGGCAAAATTGATTCTACAACAGAATGTGCAAAATGTCATAACAGTGACAACCAAACGAATCGGCGGGTGGGGATGACCTGCCGGAACCCCCCGCGGGAGACCCTCACTAGTCCAGGGACCCCGCAGGTGTTTCTCACGGGAACACACAGCCCGTGGGTGCTTCACACGGGCACACACAGCTCGCTGAGCAGTAGGATGTTGCGCCGTCTTCCGTCTCCACTTGACCTAAGAAGCGTCCGCGAGGAAAGTCAGTGAAATATACCACTCGTATTCACACGATGGAGACTTACACTCGGTCTCAGGCACCACCCACAACTTTGAGTGCTCAGGCTTGTCCCCCAGATCCCACTTGTTACACTCAGGTAGTAAAACATCCAGAGTGCCGTGAGGCTATGGACCAGGAATTCAATGTTCTTCTATAGAATCAAACGTGGTGTCTTATACCCTCTCGAGCATATGTGAATGTTATTTGATATAAGTGGGTCTTTCGCACTAAACGAAACACAAATGGTTCTATTAAGAGACACAAGACACGGGTCCTTGGAAATGATTTCTTTGATACATCCCGCCAGTGGTAAAACCCACTACTGTCAGGTTGTTTCTTTCCTTGGGTTTATCTTCTGGTTGGGTTATTAGGAAACTTGATGTTCATAAGGTTTTCTTAAATGGAAATCTGTCTGAAACTGTTTATATGAAGTAGCCACCTGGTAATATTGATGCTTAATATAATAATATCCCAATCATGTTTGCTTGCTTAAACGTTATTTGTATGACTTAAAACAGGCTTTTCTGGTCATGAACCATCTTAATTTAATGATTTAGATTAGTCTTTATATTTTCACATTAAGAATATTTTTATGGAAAAAAACGACTATATATATATACACATATACATGTGTGCGCGCGCGTTGGGAGAGTGGGTGGGGAGTGTGCGTGAGCGATAGCGCAAAACTAGAAGCCTAGAAATAAAATAATGGAAAGACATAGATCTCTGCCATGCATACCATCTGTCGTACGAAAAGTTAAAGCTGAGCTCCAACAACAGACACCCATTTTCGTAATTTCATGCCCTTTTTTTGGGGAATCTTTCAAATGTTCAATGAATCTCGTGTATTGAGTTTGGACAAGGGTCTATAGAATAATTTGCCGGTTTTGATTTTTAGATTACAATACTACATTTTAATTCATTTTCTTATACTTATGTTAGTGATTTGATGCACTACTTTTATTCATCTATATAATTTTTAATTATAAAATACTGAATATTTATGCATGTTAAGAAAAAATATTTACAAATATACTCGTACATAATTTCTATTCATAAAATTTGTTTTGTTTTTTTTTTTTTTTGTTGTTTTTGTTTTAATTACCATTTTCTCTATCCTTGTTTTTCTTTTTCTCGTTTTGTGTTTCCGTACTATGGCACGATCCATGCATAGTATTTTTATTTTAGTAGCCTACGGTATACCAATCGGTATACTCTACACCACGTCGCACGTAGCACTGTGCGCCGTGCGCCTCACAAAACGACGTCGTTTTGGGAGGCGCGGTAGGAAGTTATTGTGATTATGTATATTTGTTCATATAATTATGTATATTTGTTCATACAATTATGTACATTTTTTATACAGTTATGTACATTCTTTTTATACAATTATGTATATCCGAATCAGGAAATTTTTGTGTATTATGTTAAGAGTTGATGTGTATTATGTTAAAAGTTTATGTTTATTATGTATTATGTTAAATTATGTGTATTATTTTAAAAAAAAACAGTATGTATATTTTGTTATACAATTATGTACATTCATGTATAACATTATGTACATTTTTGAACATAGGATTTTTTTAAAGAAAAATTAACTGCCAAACACAGGGGCGAGAAATTTCAAAAAAAAATAAAAAAATTAAACGACGTCATTTTGTATTTGGACGCACAATGCAACACGCGCCGTGGTGTAGGATATAAATTGCCACGATATACTTCATTTTGGTGAAGACGTTCAAACCTAATCCAATCCATTTAAGGTGACATGAATTGATCCGATTTAACTATTTAATGTAGATCAAGCCCAATGGGAATATTGGGGCAAATGATATCAATAGTTATGCTATGGATATCAATACTTATGGAATATTGGTGCACGTTGTCAAAATATGCAATTTATATATTGAATGTTTACAATTTACATACTGAATATTTTTTTTAGTACTGTTGACTATTTTACAATGTAATATCTATATATAATTATTTTCTCAACTTAGTAAAGCACAAAGAGTCGATACCACCCTCATTAGAGTTCAAACTCATGACCTTCAATTTGTCCTCAAAAGAGACGACGACTTAACCCCCAAACAAATAGAGGACCATATCAGACATAAATTGAATACTTGAGGACTTAATCAGCCAATAAAGAAAGTCAAGGATCAATTTGGTACTTTTGCTATAATCGAGGGACCAAAACGGTAATTAACTCTTTAAAATTTAAGGGCACAAGTATCAAATAGACCCATCTATTACTGCGAAGTGCTCAATTCCCACCACGAACTAAACTAAGTGTCAAATAGGCCCATCTACCAGCTAAATTTGTTCAATTGACATTTTTTACAAGTTGCTAGCAGGTTACCTATCTAATTATTAAAAATAAATAAATAAATAGAATACAAAAAAAAAAAAAAAAAAAGAATATCAGCCACCCGCTGTCCTCGTCGGGCAGCCGGTGGCTAATATTCTATTTTGTTTTTTTAATTTTTTATTCTATTTATTTATTTATTTATTTTTAATAATTAGATAGGCAACCTGTAAAAAAAAGTTAATTGAACAAATTTAGCTGGTAAATGGGTCTATTTGACACTTAATTTAGTTTGTGGTGCAAATTGAGCACTTCGCAGTAGTAGATCGATCTATTTGACACTTGTGCCAAATTTAAGTGATTGGATTGGTAAACATTGAAAGAGATGAACCAAATTTATATTTTGAGAACAATTTGAGGTATAAAAATGCAATTTTTCCTAATTAAGAATGATGAATGCTCGATTAATCTGAAAAAGAATGGAAACGGAGAGCGCCGCCTGAGAAGCAGAGGGAGGTTAAGTCGGTCGCTTCGTGAAGTTGCTGGCGAGACAGTGAGGTACCGGCGAAGTCGCTGGGCGGCTAGGGTTTCTGTGCTAAGTTCCTCCTACGCGAAGGAAACGAGGCATTAGTCAACTACCTTTAGGAAAAGATGCAGAGACGGAGAATCGCGGCTAGGGGAGTTTAGAGCTTTATGCCAAGGTTCAACGTGGTGGGTGGGAGTTCCTTTTTTTTCCGGCGAGTTCTTTGTCCCTTGAAGCTTGGACTGGAGTTCTTTCAACGGCGTGTCTGGTTCTATACGAAGGATTAGCTGAAGAACATTTACCTTCTTTGTTTCATTGGAGTTGCAACGCGATTGTTTTCTCTTTTCGTCCAAATATAGGTCTAATGGCTATCAGAAGGTTGCAGCATTGAGCATTATGCACAGACAATTATTGTGAGAAAGGGGAGGAGAAAACGGAAACAGATTTGTTGCATTGGTTTGGAATATCCGAATATTAACTGCCATTCCTCCTTGAATTGAGCTTGTGAGTGCCTTGTTTATTCAAAATGTTCATACTCTCATTGTTTGGTTTTAAGTGTTGAGTAATATTTGTTTTATTTATTCTTCTTCATTTGATGCTCGTCCTTATGCAAATTGAAATTTAATGGTTTCTTGATTTCTTGATTTACATTGTATAATACCGATAAGGTGTTGAAATCTCCTCCGATTGAGAATATGAGATACAACTTCTCATATAAATAACTATGCTTAGTTTTGAAGGCTTATGTATGGAACTAACAGCAGGATCAAATTTCTACAGTTTGATACTTTTATTTGATCATGTTAGCTTCAATTCTCATGGTTGCATATCTGCTCAAATAGAATTGAATGGTTGTATCTATTATCTAAGGTCATGACGGATGATTATATTATTTAATTACCAGTTGTTATGAAACTTTAGTAGGCTGAAATTTATTTCAATCATGTAACTTTGACTTTATTCTTTTTCATAGGTCATTTATTAAATTGAAAGGAGTGTGTGGCTTTTACTAGCATTACACTAGTAAGCATATATTACATATAGTTTATCTGTATTGACCATCCACAATTGGCTGTGTTGGAGATGCCTGCACTTCCTCCGGTTTTGTCTTTCTTCCGTACACTATATCTCTGTTTCCCATCTCTTCTTTCTGGTAAGCTTTTCATACTTATCTATAATGGTTTTTGTATTTACGTGTACATCTTGAATATTTATTGAAAATCTTTTAGTTGTTTGTGAATTTGATTTTGAGGATTTTGTGCTAGGGTTTTGATTGGATGGAGTAGATTAGGTCTGGTGTATTGATATTTATTTATTTATTTTTGTGTAAAGGTGGTGGAGCAGAAGAGATCTCGGATTTGAATATTGGATTTATTAAGCGAGCAACACCTTTCTGAAAATGCATGCTGCCTTTGGTGCAATTGGGTACAAGGAAGGTGTTCTGATTAAATTTATCAATGGGACATAGTTTCTTAGAGTTCTACACTTTCAGTGACTGATCTTTGTATTTGCTTGTTAGGGTCTTTTTTGTGCTTTTTATTTTATTTTAATGTAGGAGGGTTGTATATGAGGTGTCCGGCTTGGGTCAATTAAATGGGTTTAATAGATGGTAAGTTAGAGCTGTGAAGAAAATGACTGAACTGACATCAATTGCCCAAAGTTATCACGGTAGGAAAAAAGCTAGGGCATAATTGTCTGAACTGATATAGTATAGGGGCTAAATTGATATTTCAGCCATATTCCATGTTGATTCCTGCAATCAGGTTCATTCATCAGAGACAAATCTTCATAAGTATTCATTCTATTCAATTCAAATCACTTTCTGTGCTTGCCCAATTGAGCTCATATCTTTCAGATTCTTCTTCTAGTTCTGATGGAGAAAATTCAAATGGTAATGTCAGTAGTTCTACTTTAGTCCAAGATTTTTCTAAAGTTAACTCGTATGGGGCTGCAGAAATGCTTTACAAATTAAGGAATGAACCAAATTCTGCATTATCATACTTTCGGCAGATGAAGGAGTGTGGGTTCCAGTACGATGTTGATACTTATGTGGCAATTATTAGGATACTTTGTCACTGGGGCATGGATATGAGATTGGATTCTATACTGTTGGAGGTGATAAAGTCAGAAAAGGAGAGTTTGGGTTTTGATGTGTCAGACTTGCTTGAGGCATTGATGGAAGGACTCCATGCTGAGTGCCCTGATTCTATAATTCGGACACTAGATGCATTGGTCAAGGCTTATGTGAGCTTGGGCATGTTTGATAAGTCCATTGACATGCTATTCACAACAAGAAGGCGGGGATTTGGTCCAAGCTTATTGTCTTGCAATTTTTTGATGAATCGACTTGTTGATTGCGGGAAGCTGGATATGGCTGTGGCTGTATATAAGCAGTTGAAGAGGCTTGGGTTTAATCCAAATGTCTACACTTACGGGATTGTGATCAAGGCCCTTTGCCGAAATGGGAATTTGGAAGAAGCCGGGAGTATTTTTGGGGAAATGGAGGAAATGGGTGTGACTCCTAATGAATTCACTTATTCTGCTTATCTCGAAGGCCTTTGCTTGCATGGTCTATCTTCTTTGGGTTATGAAGTGTTACGAGCATGGAAAGGCGCAAACATACCCCTTGATGTCTATCCTTACACTGTTGTCATTCGTGGATTTGTTAATGAAAGAAAGTTTTTAGAAGCAGAAGCTGTTTTACTTGATATGGAAGAGCAAGGTTTGGTCCCTGATGATTATACTTATGGGGCACTGATTCAAGGTTATTGTCAGATAGGGAATATTATAAAAGCTCTGAATGTCCATAATGAGATGACAGCTAAGGGTATTAAAACTAATTGTGTGATTCTTAGCTCAATTCTTCAGTCTTTGTGTCAGAATGGGATGGCATCTGAGGTTGTTGAACAATTCAATAGTTTTAAGGAGCTTGGAATTTTCCTAGATGAGGTTGTTTATAATATTGCAATTGATGCTCTATGCAAACTGGGGAAGTTGGAAGAGGCTATGAAGTTGTTAGATGAGATGAAGGGTAAGAGGATGACTCCAGACATTGTGCACTATACCACTTTAATTAATGGATACTGCCTACATGGGAAAGTATTTGATGCATTGGTCTTATTTAAAGAAATCAAGAAAAATGGATTGAAACCAGATGTGGTTGCATATAATGTGCTTCTTGGTGGATTTTCTAGAAATGGTTTGGCACGAGAGACACTTCACCTACTGGATTATATGAAGGGACAAGGTTTAATACCGACCACTGTGACATATAATGTGATTATTGAGGGTTTATGTATGGGACATAATGTGGAGGAAGCTGAAAAATTTCTCGATAACCTAAACTCTAAATCTGAAGAAAATTATGCTGCCATGATCAATGGATATTGTCAATCAGGCAATACAAGTAAAGCTTACAAACTCTTCCTAAAGCTGTCCAAGCAAGGCATTTCTATAAAGAGGAGTTCTTGCTTGAAACTGCTGGCTAGCCTTTGTTCAGAAGGTGAATATGACAGAGCTCTGAAGCTATTTGAGATAGTACTGTGTTCTGATGATGGCCCTTGTACATCAATGTATAGCCGTATAATAGCTGCTTTATGTCGTGATGGAGATATGAAAAAAGCTAGGTGGATATTTGACAATATGTTATGGAGAGGAATAACTCCTGATGTAATTATTTATACCATGATGTTAAATGGTTATTGTAGAGTGCATTGCTTGCGGGAGGCACACAGTCTTTTTGCTGATATGAAAAGTAGGGGAATTTCTCCTGATGTTATCACCTACACAGTTATGCTTGATGGACATTCTAAAGGTTTAAAAAGAACTCAATCCTCATCCTGTGCAGGGGGGAACAAGGGAGGAAGCAAGATTGCTTCTGATCTCTGGTGTGAAATGAAGGAGATGAAATTGACAGCTGATGTCATATGCTACACTGCGTTGATTGACAGTCATTGCAAGTCTGATAGCCTTGATGACGCTATTCAGTTATTCAATGAGATGATTGATAGAGGTGTAGAACCCGATAATGTTACATACACTGCTCTTTTATGTGGCTTCTATAAGCATGGACATATAGAAAGGGCTGACAGTCTTGTGCATGAGATGATGGGTAAGGGAATAGAACCAGATAGCCGTATGATGTTTACATTACACACTGGCATGTTGAAGGCCAGAAGAGTGCGAATCAAGCATTAAACCTCAGGAACTCCTATGTAAGTCAGCTAGTATCATTTCATTTCACATTGTTGTCAACAATAGATTAACATATCTTCTTTAATTTCTTTCTTTTTGTCTCTATTTATTTATTTATTTTTGCAGTAAATTGGCAAATGCTTCTGTGATTCAGAGACATTATTTTGACTTTTTACAGACTTGGCTAGTTGGAAAAGCTTTCAAGGATATAAGCTTTCAAGTTTGTCAGTCCATTACCTAATATCTTGTTACACTCTATGCTGACTTTTATATTCAATGGGTCTGATGGGCTGCTGGGTTCATTGGCAATTGTAGATGATGTAATTAATGATTGTCAGTAGGGCTGCTATCACACTGGTGGTAATAAATCTTTCACTTTAACTTTATTCTTTGATTACCCCTTCCCAACGTTTCACACTTTCACAAAGTCCATCTCTATTCTCTACTACCATTCATATTGCAGATATGTCAACTTCGAAGAGGAACACATGGTAGCTTGACTACAAATTCCTCAATGAGGTAACGCGTGTACACATAAATTTCAATTGTTTTCTTTTGGTGATTATGTATTTATTATGTCTAGTTTGAGATACTTCTTGTTTGATTTGATTATTTATGGGCTTGTTCCATACTACAATGCTAGCCTGTTGGTGTTTGGTTTTAATGGCAAATGCTGATATTCGGGCAAAGACCTTAAAGTGTTAAATGAATTCCTAATGTAAAAAAGTTTAGTGTCTTTGTCTGTAGGCTCTCCTCCCATTTAGATTTATTGAATGAAGCTAATGTTTTCACCTTTTACTGAAAGTAGTTTCAATTTATTTTATAAACCATAATAGCCCATCTCAAAAAAAAAAAAAAACAAAAGGAAAAGAGAAAAATTATAATATGAAATTTCTATTTCAATCATCCTTAATTAATTAGATTAGAATCAATTGACTGATACTTCCTAAACGAATATTTATTTGATGTTTTGGATGCTTTATTCCATTGGTGTTTTAGATCATATTACACTTGTTGTGTTCTGGAATTTTGCAACTACATTTAAATGAGTGATTTTTTAAGTTCAGAATGGTGGTGCAACTCATTCTTTTGTGCAAAGATCTCATAGTGCTTGTTTGGCTTAGCTTGAGCTTTTTGAAAAAGAGGTTTTTGCCTTCTCTATCCTCAAAAACCCCTTCTCTCTCTTTTGCTTTTGTGGGTTCATGATATACTTTTTCAGGGTGCATTTAGTTCAAGTTATGTAACATTACCTATGTAATGTGAGTAGTAATGTTATATAACCTTGTTTGGTTCAACTTATGTGATTGCCTCAGTAATCTAATATTTACTGCCGCATAGTATTTTGAGGTAATGTGATTACCTCCATCCTCTTAGAGTCTTAGGTATTCTTACATTAATTTTGCCCTTATCAACTATTCTTAATTTCTTATATATACTAATAAAAAAAAGAGTTGATGTCACGTGGGGTCCTCCGAGTATAGTGGTTTTGCCACATTTAGTTCTAAACTTTCAAATTGACCATCTGTGGTCCTTCGACTTTCAAATTTAACAATTTGTGGTCCAAGTTAACCACCCATGGTCCTTCAACTTTTGAAATTTATCTAGCCGTGGTCCTCTTGAAAGAACCATGGCTGGTTAAAATTTAATAGTTTAAGGACCATGGCTTAACTTTGACCACGGATGGTAACAATTTGAAAGTCGAAGAATCACGAGTGGTTAATTTGAAAGTTTAGGACTAAACGTGGCAAAACCACTATACTCGTAGGACCTCAGATGGTATTAACTAAAAAAAAAACAATAATATATTTATACATATATAAAGTAGTACTCCGTATATGGTCATGTATGTATATATATTTTATTTCTTTATTTACTTATTTGTATTGAGGGCATTTAAGTAAATTATGCAACATAATGTAACCTCAATTAAGCATGTTAGGGGGCGATTGGTTTAGGTTATATAACATAACCAAGGGAATGTGACATTCCAAACCTTACATTCCGGTGTTTGGTTCGTATTATCTTAGGGAATCTAACATTCCCAAGGAATGTCACATTCCCTCCACATAGGATTTTGAAGGGAATGTGATTCCCTTCAAAATCTTAGGTAATGTAAGATAACCTTGGTTATGTTAGTTTATTATATATATATATATATATATATATATATATATATATATATATATATATATAAAATTATTTTTGTAATTATATATTTTTTTATTTTTATAATGTTATGTTAGCATATAAAATAATTTTGTTTCTCAAGTTCAAGATTTTAGTTAATATTTTAAAATCATGTAATTATATATGATACCGTTATCTTATTTATTTATTTTAATTTTTAAATTTATTAAAATATATGAAAGTATGTTAAGGAAATTATAGTGTGTATAAAAGATAACCCTAAACCATACATGATTATATTACAGACTCCAATTTTAACCAAACATAGGAATCTAACATTCCCAGTAATCTAACATTCCCAGCAATCTAACATTCCCTAAGGTAACATTCCGTGAACCAAACGACCCCTTAATGTTACATTCCCAAAATTCCAACTAAACACACAAAGTAATCTTACATTTCCATAATCTCACACTACCTCTCTGAAGGTAATCTCGTATTCCGTGAACTAAATGCCCCCTTAGTGTAATATAAGCTCCAAAATAAGCTTATGCCAAACAAGCACATATGTCTTGTTTGTCACAATTAGCTAATAAGCTCTTTGTAGTTTTCCCCAACTATTAGAAACTAGTTTTTAACAGCTTATTGAATTAGAAGTGTTTGTGAAATTAGTTGATGAACTATTTGACAAGTATAACACATGAAATGACTAAAGGATATGTTTTCAGTTTTTATGATCAAATATTCCCTTGGCTGTGCTCCCATATTATTAAAAAAGTGTTTTTTGAATTTGTTGTAATATATTTAAAATTTTAATTAATTAGGAAAAGTGCCAAATAGGCTACTTAACTTATTGAGTTTCTTGCAATTGAGCCACTGAACTAAAAACATGTGCAATTTTATTTTTTTTGAAGTTCATTATTAGGTTGCAGGTAATAATTGCTTAGTTGGATGCTTAAGTGGAAATTTTAGTTGTTTCCAACCTGACATGGACAAAGAAAAAAAGCAAGATTTTTTTTTAAAAAAAAAAAGAAAAAGAAAAAGAATGAAGAGGCAGCAAACATGGCTGCGTTCTCTGTTGTTGTGCAACAAAAAGGAATGGGGTCTCCCTTATCACACGTAGGAACATCACACTGCAACGAAAAGGAAGAGGAGGCAGCAGCCTCCGCCTTTCCTTCCTCTCCAGATCAGGAGAGGAGGCAGCCGTGGCTGCTGCCTCCTACATTTTTTTTTCCTGTTTTGTTATTTTTTTGATAATATTTCAACTAAGCCACTTTGATCTGTGGCATGCCAAATCATCAATTACTGGAAGAATTTAAGTTTACTGTAAAAAAAAAAAGGAAATTGCACATTTTTTTGCTTGATTGATGTTGTAATTGCACATATTTTTAGTTCAATAGTTTAATTGCACAAACTTGATAAGGGCTTTTTGACACTTCTAATTGATTATATATAATTGCACTGTAACTGTGTTACATGAAAATCAAAGGTACATATGTCGCCATACATAACCAAAAAAAAAAAAGTTACAGCATCTTCAACAATGCATTGATAAAAAAAGTATTATCTATAGTTTTTTGAAATGCAAAGCTTACAATTTTTTACGAACATTTTGAAAGTTTGGGATAAAATTATTGTCTTTTACCCAAAAGGGCAGGGTAAATGAAAATAAATTATTCAATGCTAGTTTATGTAAGCTGAAAGCCACTTGTGATAGCTTCTCTTAAGCTAAATTAATTTTTTAAAATGCTTGCTTACCAAACTGCTCCAAAAAGCAAAAGCTAGATTGTAAGTTACCGCCAAACACATTTGTTACTCCTGACTCCTGGCAAATTTTTCAAAGGAGAATCTCAAAGTTTCACCTTGATTTGCTCTTAACAGTGTATAAGACATACCTCAAGGTTAAGAGGAGTGGATTGAAGTCATACCTCAAGGTTAAGAGATCCCCTTGGCTAGAAAGATGTGTTATGTATAGTATCTCATTGATTTGAAATTCGTTCCCAATAAAATGTTTATTTTATTTGAATGAAAGTATTCCCCTTTCCCCCAAGTTCAATTATTCTGAATCAGTGTTTTGGACCTGAAATGAGAAAGTTCTTGAATAAGACACCTAGAAATAGAATGTATGGAATGGAGATGTTTTTCAGCCAAGTAGGTCCCGAGTGTGAATGTAGGTGCAACTTATAAGGCCAAGTGTCTGTCTTGAGTCCTGACTTTGCCAAGGTTCGCTTGTGTTGATTTTAAAATTCCTACTCGCACTCTATTTTTCATGGTAGAAGTCATATTTAGTTGGTTTTGTTGAATTTGGTTATTTATTCTGTTGAGCATAATTTTGTCTGCTTTCATGTTATTCTTAAATTTTGAGCTCCAGTATGCCAGTATTTCCCCTCCACCCCCTTCTATCTCATGCTTTTTGAGTCGGTTCAGCAGTGTTGCGGAGTTCCTGAAGAAGCCCACATCTCTTTAGAAGAGGAGTCTGATGGCTGTGGTGGAAAGATGAGGTGGGTACTGCAGTACTACAAGAAGGGCTTTTGTGATGATATTGGCGGGAATATCTGCTTCATGGATTGGCTATTATGTTTCCCAGAGGCTTTCTTAGTTGCACTGAGTTTTCACAATACAGCCAGTGCTCTGACATCCACCATTCTCCCCCGCTTTCCACCTCTTCCTCCATCCTTTCTCAATCAAAAGGAAGGAGGAAATGGTGAAATGTTCTCATCGTGTTCAGAATAAAAGCCGAAGTTATTGGACAAAACAATCTGATGATCTCCTTGTTATTGTTGTTCTCGATGCCCTTAGGCACTACCATCGTATTCATATTCTGATTTCAGGGCTTGACAACTGGTGGACTTGCAACTTTTGTTGATCTGAGATCTCAACTGTTGAGAAGAATTTGATATATCAGGTGACAATGAGGATGCTGGTTGAAAGAAACCATGAATTAATTTCATTACCATAATATTTTGAGCAAAGGGTAACCATTAGTGTTTATTCAATTGCTTTTTATTTGTAGATGGTTCACATTGGAAAGCGAGTGTTGATGATGGGAGATCACACTTGGTCGCTGTTGTTTCCTAAACATTTTACCAGATATTATCCATTCCCATCTTTCATATGGTATGCTTTTTATTTGCTCATCATGAGAAAGTGCACATTGAAAACAATGCTGCCTAGCTGAATCTTTAACATGTCTATCTGCCAGGTACGCCATCCATGGCTGCATCAAGCACCTATTGTCATTCTCGTGCAAAGATGATTGGAATGTTCGTTTAGCACCTTATCTTGGAGTGACGTAATGGAAATTACGCCCTCTGCTCGGAAAGGCCAGTATTTATCACTCTTGTCTCTTAAGAGAGGTCGAGAGTTCGAACCCCTTCTCGTATGGAAAAATCAATTTGGCCAGCACTTTGCCCCTTAATTGGGAGGATGGTACGGGCTTAAAGGTGTCTTCTACAGTTAAGGCCTGCTCAGGACACCTCGTGTCTGACCCAAAAATTTCTTGGAGCATGCTGGACATTTCTTGTGTTGACTCTGCTAAAATGATAGAGAGAAGTGGAGCAATACAATGTTAGATTTTGGAGGTATTTGAACTTTTATACATTTTCAAGTTTCACTGAATAGTGTTTCTATGATACTTCTGCATTGGATTGAAACACCCTGGGACTGGTAGTCTGGTACCTTAAATATATTTATTCAAAATTATCAAATAAAATCAAAAATTGTTTTCTTTGCTTAATTATTATTTACATTTTCCTTTATTTCACCTGCTTAATACAGAACTGGATACAATTGTGGTGTTCAAAATCGTGCCCTTAAAACAATTAATAGGTTGCCATGTTGATATGTCCTTCAAACTTTCAAAGTGAAAAACCAAACCTCACAATGTTTGTTTGTTTGTTTGTTTGTTTTTTTTGTTTTTTGTTTTTTGTTCATTCTTCACTAATGCTTTCTAAACCTGGTTGCCAGTTGTCAAAAGAAGAAAGTCTATTAGGTACAATCTCTATTTTTGTAGCAGAGTTCCTTTTTGGCTCAGATGACGACGATGCAGAGTTGCTTGATGCTCCACTTAACGAGGATTGTGCATCGCTATCCTTCTTGGTGTGTCCAAGGGGGGAGCTATTCCTGTGAAAAGACAAACAAGAAGTAACATTTTCATAGTCCTCTTCCTCCTCGTCGTGTTGAGGTTTCTGGATTTCTCGTGCCATGGACGGGAAACGCTTCAGCGCCAGGGACTGGAGTTTTCTGACGGTGCCTTTGGGGACGACGTAGAACTTGTGTCCGGGCATGAGGGTGGTGTCGGGTGCAAGGATAGCTGCCCAAGGCTGCTGGAAAACATTGGGGCGTGCAACACAACACTTGGGGTTCCTGTTCATGATCTCAGCTACAAGAACAGGAGCGTCGTGCAGCTCAACATGCCCTCCCGGATGAACAATCTTCACAACCGCGCTTTTGTTGCAGATCCACTTTGTAAGAGCCACCATGGCTTTTCTCCAAACCTGAAACAATTCAGCAGAGTTTCACATACCATAAATAAATACCAATTCTTACAAATGAAAACCTTTGGAAATACCAGGACTGACAATGATGTTATTCTTCCTTAAGATTGGTTTCACACCATCTGTCTTGGTGTCAACAATGTTTCCTGTTTGTCTCCATAAGACAAACCAAAAGAGTTCCATCACTAGGATCCAAGATTCCATTACTGGAATCCAAGAAACTCCCTACTAAAGATTATTGGGTACTAGATAACAGAGCTAACCACAAAGACAACAACCTCATTAGACAAACGCCGGTTAGATCGGATATTCTTGATCAATCTCTATCCTATGCAAGCAATACTATTATTTATGAGCCCTGAAATGACAAACAAGAAAAAAGTTTATCAAGAATCTGTCCTGCGGGTCACACCGACTTAAGAGGCTACAGAAACTCATAAGTCAGAATAGTAGTCATCAACGAGGTCTGGTGTGGATTACAAATTCACAATAGCCCAAAATCTGGAGAAGTGAATAACTCAGCTGAAAGTTGGGCTGGAGCAAATATGATAGATCTAAAGATGGGGAGTTCAAAGTAATTGTATATACAAATACCGGAAGCTGTGATATAAAGCAAAATTCCCGGTACAATAAATTCTCAATAACCACATTTGAGGGATGAGGGATCTGTAACAAAGAATACAGGAAACAGAAGGGGGTCGTTTACTTCATTTCTCTGTTTTTCCATTTCCAGTTTTCTATTTCTCCAGTTTTCCTTCTCCATTCCTCCAATTTTCCATTTCTCTGTTCCTCTAATTTTTCATATTTCTAATTTTTGATTTTATTAAAAACAATAATCCCATATAACATTTGTACATTTCTACAACAAAGATAATAATGATAACAACAACAACAACAACAACAACAATAATAATAATAATAATGATAATAATAATAATTTAATAATAATAATAATAGTAATAATGATAATAATTTAATAATAACAACAACAAATTTGTGTACATAAGGAGGAGGAAAAGGGAAAAAGGAAAAAAAAAAAGATAATAATAATAATAATAATAATAATAATAATAGTAATAATAATAAGAAGAATAAATTTATAATAATAATAATAGTAATTAGCAAGTAGCAATTAATAATAATAATAATAATAATAATAATTAGTAATAATAATAATAATAAGGGCACGCACAGGGAACGAAAAAAAGAAGCTAGCTGCCTAGCTTTGAGGTTAAAACAACGAACGTGCAAATAATGCTAAGCGCAGGATTCGATACCAAGACCTCATCTTTAGCACTATTCACGCGTGTCCATCCCTCCATTTGGAGAACATCTATTTTCCTTTCTCCAAAATTGTATAGGAAGTGGAAGAATGGAGATAGAGATTAAAATTGGAGACATAAATTTAGTAAACAAGTTTTTCAATTTTCCTTTTTCCACTTCTCCAATTTTCAATTTTTCCAGAAAATCCTCCATTTTTCCATTGATTTTCAATCCTTTTGGGAATACAAAGTATACATTATATTATTCTTTCACTTTCATGTAGATTGTCTTTTTTTTTTTTACGTGTAAGTCGACACCGCCACCTTGCTCCACTCAAGAAGTTGTCTGAATCTGGGCGAAGCATTTTTTTTTTTGCTTTCATGGTTATTATCAACGAATAATTTGTAGTGAGAAATTAGGGTAAGAAGACAATATCAAAAGAGTTAGTTGGTTTTGAGAAAATTAAGATTCTATGCAATAACTTAATTTTGGTAATCTTTTATAATACTCCGTATTTATTATTATTATTATTATTATTATTATTATTATTATTATTATTATTTTTATCAAACTATAAAATTCTTAACAAAAGAAAAAATATAATATAAAATTTCACTTAGGAAGTGGCATTTAACTTTTGATATCAGCTTATTTCAATTTTTTTTTTTTTTTTTTTTTACACTTCTCATATCTAAATAAATATTTTCTAGAAAACATAATTATAATCTATACAATTAAATGTATTAATAATGGATAAACAATTAAACACAAGTGAACTTAAAAAAAATAGTACCCTTGTATTGTGAATTCTGGTCCAAAATGATATTTGTATCTTTTTTAACAATAATGTTTTTTTTGTTTTTTTTTTTTTGTTTTTTTTTTTTTTTTGTTTTTGGATCAATGACGGAAGGACGACGCTCTGAAAATCCTACTAATGGTTCCCTTCTCTCTTTCTATGCAGCCAAGATCAGCTCATTGGCCCATGCGATCTTCGTCAAGTAAATGTCTCACTTGAGTCGGCGGCTCCCTTAGATCTCCCCAGCAAACTGTATTATTCTTTGTCATTTTAGCCAAACCATCTGTCATCATATTTTTTCACAATAATGTTTAAACTCAGAGAGACTTGAAGTTGTAAGTTCTTCAAGATACCTTTTTTTGTTTTGTTTTTTTTTTTTTTTTTCAAGCAAACTTGATCATAATATTACATCGATATTAATGGGTACGTCAAGTTGAAGATAAAAAGTAATAGGACCAACTATTGAAAGACTAAATTTATTATAGTTGATAAATAAAGTATATAATTTTTGAAGAGAACAAAATAGAACTATTTATCGATAGAACAATTATTTTATTGAACTGATCTAGTTAACGAGTTGAAATGGATTCTATATGAGGATATTCTTGGTCTCCTCGTCCAAAGATAGTAGTTGCTAGCTAGTGTTCTTTTTTTGGGTACCCTTCGACTAGGAAAAAAAAATCACTTGACGAGTTTAATTAAATAGATTTTATCTGTTCTATACTTTCTTAAACATTCTTAGTTTGAAGAATAATCTAAACCCCACCACCCTGGTTTGAACCTATGACCATCTATTTAGGTTGGTAATTATGATGTCATTACACTAGTTGGCTCCATTATACTCTTATAATAAATAAAGTGTAAATTTTCCATTTTATTTAAATTATTGAATTATGGTGACATTGAATATAATGTTTGATGAAAATGGAATGGAACGAGAAGATAGTGGTAGCCTGGTCATCCATCATCTTCCATTTCACCTCCGATCCGATCCCCATTGTACGATGAATCTTTTCAACTTACTCGTATCTTGACCTGCTTCATAACCATGTCTTATCTCCATGTTTTATGCAAACCAAAATTCACGTTTTATTTTGGCTTAATTATTGCAACCACAAGATTTTTTTATTTTTTTATTTTTTAGAAAATTACACTTTTCGTCCCTAAATTATATGATAATTAGGAGATTCGTCACTACTTGCTGATCGTGCTTACTCCTTGTCCCTAAGCTTGACGTTGCAAATTTTGACATTTTTCTAACAAAACATTAATTTAAGGACGAAATTTACAATGTCGGTTATAACTTAGGAAAGAGAATTGAGCACGACACGTTAGAAAAATGATGAAATTTACAACGTCAGTTATAGTTTAAGGACTAGAAGTGAGCACGACCAACAAATATAGACAAATCTTACAATTACTCTATAATTTAGGGACGAAAAATGATTTTTTTTTTTTTTTTGGTAATTACTTAGTTTTCTTTGCTTCGTCACCCATGAAGATATAAAATAAGCCATTATAACTTCAAGACTCCACTACCCATACCAAGTTATCCACTTCTCGCATAAAGATTCTAACTCAAACCTAAACCCTAATTTTTTTGACAGGACTCAAACTCCCAACCTACCACTAGAAGCCAGACTTAAGTGAGATTTTTTATTTACTTAACAGCAAAATAAAAAAGACATTATAATCTACTTAATTTTTGATTTTTTACACATTCTCAAATATATTCTTCTCACTCAATTATTCGATTAATATTTTCTTTGTTCACAAAGTCTTTTCCAATTCTCTACCACTCATGCCACCATACGCCAAAAGGGGACAAAGAGGAGACATTATATATGAGAATAATCAACACATTATCTCATTCAAAAAAAAAAAAAAAACACATTATCTACGTGCTTTTGAAGTTGTAGAGATCAATTATTATACATGCGAATAATAACATTTACACTTATACTAATATCCACATGTTTGTGATGCATATATGTAAATTTTTATGGGCTTTTGACATGAGCCATCGAACGATTAACAATAAAAATTAAAAAAAAAAAACTTTTAAGAGTAATGTATATTATTACGTTATGTAAATATAGGAGACCAGAATTAAAAAAAAAAAAAAACACCATAATTACAATTATATTATTTTGGAATTGAAATACATTAGTCATGCATGAAGAATACCAATTATTTTGCATTCTTGCAACCAACCCACACCGCATCGCATCATCTACATATAAAAACTTCCCCATGCACTTTGCATCGCACTTCACCTGCAAACTTGACCCACAAAACCACCAATTTTAGATTTTTTTTCTTGTCTTGTTACTTCCTTCAAATAATATATATATATATATATATATAGGGTTGCGCTCAGGTGCGAACTACCCGTCCAGGAGAGAAATGAGAACGCATGCCATCCGTCCACGTGTCCAGATCTAATAGATGATTTTTTTAAAAAATGCGGTCATTTTTGTAAATAATTGAACATCGAAGTGCAAGTAAAATGTATTACAAGTGCAAGTAGTAGTTTCATATAGTGCACCTCATTGCAAGTAAAATGTATTACAGATGCAAGTAAAATTTACACAGAGCATCATTACTAAGTGCACCTAATGTTATAACTAGGTGCACCTAACGTTATAAGTAGTTGCACCTAGGTGCATGAATGTTAACAAGGTAAAATTACTTGCACTTGTAATAAGTGAAAGTGCACTTGTAAGTGATTTTATTTGCACTTTTTACTTGCAAAGGTGTACCAACTACTTCCACTTATGACACATTTACATGCACCAAAGTTCGAGTTATTTACGAAAATGCTACCGCGCGCGTCATTTTTTTAAAATTAAATATGATTCATTAATATGGACACGTGGACAGCTGTTATGCGTTCTCATATATATATATATATATATATATATATATATATATATATATATATATTATTTATTTATTTATTTATTTACAAATATTTTTCTTTAAATATGCATAAATGTTATTGTCTACTAGAATATAAATTTTTGAAATATTCTATAGATTTTTTAAAAAAAATCTTAAAAGAAACATTATATTTTCAAAATATAAAAACACCCATCTCAAGTAATAGTGGGCATATTGGGTTTTAATTAAAAGTGTAAGCAAGTCGATTCCATGAATGAAATTTGTTGGATATGATGTGATTCAATTCATGAATATGAATATAGAATTGGTGGAAAGCTAGGTGGTCACCCAATTGCACCATTACTCACTGACATAACTCCATATTGCATGCCATGCTTGCCACAACCCATCACCCCCTACCCCCTCACTACTATTTTTAAGCATGCCTACTCCAATATATTCTCTTCTTTCAACATCATTCAAATCTATATGCTTTTTATATCCACACAACATATATATACTTCCATCAGATGCTTCCCTACCTTCTTTAATTAATCATCACTTTCTTGATAATATATCTTTACATTTCAATTTATCATTTTTTTTCAATAGATGTATTTCATTTATCTTGTATAACAAAAATTATGATGATGATATTGTGATACAGAAAAAGACTCCCATATAAATGAACGATTGACATTATTATTATTATTATTATTATTATTATTATTATTATTATTATTATTAAATGAGAATATATCTCTTGGACCCGGCCATCAACATATTCAAACACAAAAAGAAATAAAAATTCAAATACCACTCATCTACAGTATCTCTTCAAGTGAATATATTGTAATTAGTTTTCATGCAATCAATAGAGAGAGGTTAGACATCAATTTTAGGTGAGAACAATTCAAGGTGTTAGGCGAGAACGTGTGGTCATTTGTTGGTGTGTGTGTGTGTATATATATATATATATATATATATATATATATATATATATATATATATATATATATAGACTTGCGTTCAAATGAGGACAAGTATATTATAGAAGACTGTGAGGACATATGTAGTGTGTGCCATTAGCTTGTATGTCGTGTGCATGGCCAAATGTAGTCGTGCGCCACAGTTTGTATGTTGCGTGCATACATTTGTTAATTAGTAAAGCCTGGGTTCGAAACATGGTGTTTACATGTATTCTTGTGTGCCATTATGTATTAAATTGTGTGCCTGATAGTTATTTGTTGTGTGCCCATTATTTGTCCTCACAGTCCTCTATATATTGTTGTCCTCATTTGAACTCAACCCTATATATATATATATATATATATATATATATATATATATATATATATATATATATATATATATACATACATAGGGATGCACTCAGGTGCGAATAAGTGCTCAGGAGAGAAATGCGAACGAATCAGCGCGCGACATGTGTCCAGATCTAATAATTTTAAAAAAAAAGCGGTGGCATTTTCGTAAATAATTGAACATCGAAGTGCAAGTAAAATCACTTACAAGTGCACCTACTTTCACCTATAAGTGCATGTAATTTTGCCTTGTTAGCATTCACTTTCCGCAAACATTCATGCACCTGGGTGTGCTTATAACTATATGTGCAACTATTTATAACTATAGGTGCAACTACTTATAACTATAGGTGCACCTACTTTCACCTATAAGTGCATGTAATTTTGTCTTGTTAACATTCATTGATCTGAGTTCAGCGGGTAGTAATACCCCTGAAAACCACTCGCAAACATTCATACACCTAGGTGCAACTACTTATAACTATTTGTGCAACTACTTAGAACTATAGGTGCAACTACTTAGAACTATAGGTGCAACTACTTATAACTATAGGTGCAACTAAGTATTGATGCTCAGTGTAAATTTTTACTTGCACCGATAATACATTTTACATGCACTTGTAATACATTTTACTTGCACTTCGATGTTCAATTATTTACAGAAATGCCACCGCATTTTTTAAAAAAATCAGTGTTTCTCATCCATTAAATCTGGACACGTGGACGAACAGAATCCATTCCTATTTCGCGCCTGGGCGAAGCATTCGCACCTGAGTGCGATTCTACATACATACATACATATATATATATATATATATATATATATATATATATATATATATATAGAAAAACGATCATATGTGGTCATGTCATTAGGTGTGGTTGTGTGGTCGTATCTGTGTCGTTGAATCAGTTTAATCTAAAGGCTGTGGTAATTCTGAGGATTTTCGCGCGTTTTAGTAAGTGGGGTTGTTATGGTAATTACAGTGACCATTTATAGCGGGCGGGTTCCAGAATACACCAACAGTGTTGACAACATACACCAATAGTGTAATAAAACACACCACAGTGAAACACACCAATGGTGTATTCCCGTGTTATGGTAATTACAGTGGCCATTTATAGCGGTCGAGTTCCAGAATACACCAACAGTGTTGACAACATGCACCAATAGTGTAATAAAACGCACAACAATGTGATTTTCCTTATTCCGGTGTTTTATGACAAGTTTACCCTTACAGTTCGCTAGGTAGAAGAATGTGCGCGAAAATACTGAAAAAATCTTGATTAATATGATTCATTAGATCTATCTAATCTAATGGTCTATAATTGACCATATGTGACCGCACCTAACAACATGGCCACATGCAGGGACGGAGCCAGAAAATATGTTGAGGGGGGGCAAAGAAGTAAGGATGGATTCAACGGCGGATTCAGAAATTTTTTTTAGTGAGGGAAAAAAATTAAAATAAAAGAGAAAGTTTAAAAAAATGAAATACTTAAAAAGTATAACAATAAATATTGTTGGATATAGCGAAAAATAAAACATATTAAAACTTTATAAAAATATTTATAACAAAATATAAAACATAATTAATTTGATAAAACAATTCGAATATAAAACACATTATAAATTACACATTCCATTATTAATATAAAGAAAGTTATAATGAAAGTTATATATATCATGCCAAAATTTAATTGTGTTAATAAAAAAAGTGAAGAAGACTGTGACATTATCAATGCAAAGAGTCGAAACCCAAGCAATTCCGAAACACATACACATTAGCTACCATCTTGTCTATCACAACTTTTATTTACATAATCTGTTTTATAATACTTATATGAATAATGTACTATATATACATATTATATACAATATAGGGTAGGGGAGGGGTGGGGTGGGGTGAGGGGGGGCAGCTGACCCCCCTGCTCCCCCTCTGGCTCCGTCTATGGCCACATGTGATCACTCCTCTATATATATATATATATATATATATATATATATATATATATATATATATATATATATATATATATATATATATATATATATATATATATATATACACACACATGTATGTATGTATACTAAGTGATTATGTCATTAGTTTAGCTCATTTAAAAGAAATTTCATGGTTCCACTCCTATGCCAAGCAGAAGTCACTATCAAGTGAATCAAATTGAATTTTCTCATACCTTGGAAGCCCAGAAAATTCCAAAAGATCATCATAATGTTACCCATTGAAATAGCCATGTTAACATCACAATAATATGTTTTCTTCTAATTAATTTCAACTAAATGAGAGATCAATAGAAAATTCATTGCCTTGTAACATATATTGAGAAATTAAAGGAATTTTGGAGATTGAAAGATGTATTTTATCTTAATTAAAAAAAATAAATTTATAATGGTGAAAATAAAAATTTATTAAGAATAGGAAAAAGTGTTAAACAATTCATTAAACATTTGTAATTTGTGCAATTTGACCATCTCAAATAAAAAAGTGTGAAATTGAAATATCTAAC